TTTTTGCCCCCAGGTTCCCCCCCCGTGCCCCCAAAGCAGCGCCGCATTGCAGCCGACGCCGCCCCCCGCCCGCGGCGCAGCCCCGCCGCCCCAGGTACCAAAACACCCCAAAATACCCCAAAAAGCCCCAAATTTCACCCCCCCATGGGGGTCTCCCCTCCTCAGGACCCTTCAGCATCCCCTAAACTTCTCCTCCTGCCCCCAACCCCCCCCGATTTCTGCTCCTTTTCCCCCAAATCTCTCCTCCTTTCCCCTCCCTCCCGCGATGCACCCCATCTCTCCGCTTCCCCAAAATCTCTTCTTTTTACCCCAAATTTCTCGGCCTCCCCAAAATCTCCTCTCCCTCCCTCCCCCCCCCATCCCCAAATTTTATTCTTTCCCCCAAATGCCCCAAATTCCTTCGTTCCATTTCCCCTCCAAACGCCCCAAATTTTCTCTCACCGTTTCTCCCGAAAATGCATCAGATTTTCAGTTTCCCCCCAAAACGCCCCAAATTTCTCCTCTCCATTTCCCCCAAAATGCCCCAAATTTCCCCTTTTTGTTCCCCAAAACGCCCCAAATTCCTTCACTCCATTTCCCCCCAAATGCCCCAAATTTCCCATTTCCAACTCCCCAACTTTCCCCTCATTTCCCCCAAACTTCCCCCCTTATTTCCCCCCTTTTCACCAATCCCGCGATTTTTCCACCCAAATTTTGGCTGTGTTCAAAAATCCCCATTTCTGAAAGCGACCAATTTTGCGCTTTTCTCTAAATGGTGGGTTTTTAAAATGTGATTTTTGCCCCAAATTCCCTGTTTTTCCCCTTAAATCCAGCCCTGCACAGGACGTCGGTGTTCGACCGCCTGGGAGCGGAGACGGAGCTCAGCAAGGTGGGGGAATTTGGGGTGAAATGGGGCAGATTTGGGTCAGAAAACCTTTTGGGGTTTCTCTCCATTGAATTGGGGTCAGAATTGGGGTTTTTGGGGTGTTTTTGTAGGGCCAGGCGGGGCTGAGTTTGTAGGGTGGTAATGGGGGGTGGAGTTGGACCCCAAAATGGGGGGGGAGGGGGCATAAAAACCCCAAATGGGACCCAAAGGGGGGGGGGGGG